ATGTTCTTATTGAGAGGCGTCCGTTTTGCAGGAGTGTCCATAACAAGAGGTTTCACTGTATATATATATATATATATATATAGTTTCATAGGTCAACCAGTAAATACTTTCATTCTAAATAGGCACTGGCTAAGGATTGTTTAATTGTTTTAATAACTAATATATTTTTTACTGTTGTGCATTGAATAAATAACAATATAGTATTAGAAAAATTCCTAAGAGAACTAATGAAATTTACCTACTATTTCATTACATTTTATTTACTTACAGAGATTTATAAGAAAAGGAAGCTGTACATTATTTATTATAAAGCTACAAAAAAGCAGCAGCTTATTATATATATTTTATTTTTTTTTCAAGACATAGTTTGTGTTATCCGTTATTTACCTTCCATAAAAAAAGAGAACTAAGTTGATAATTTATATAAATTTAAAAATATTTCGAATAAAATTAAGAAAAACTTACCACACGCCCACTTTTTCATTGCTAAGAAATTTCATACATAAAAAAATAATAAGTTAAATTCAACACGAGTTTTACCCATCTTGCTCACAAATTTTAGGAAAATGTTTTGTTTTCTCTCATTTTACTTCAAATTTAATAGCGTAATAAAATTGGAAGTGTCTGTAAGTAGTGAACTCAGCTGCAGAACATAGCGCTATTAATTAAAGATGAATTTATTTTTCTCACGTAATTGACACCATACTGTTTCTGTGTAAATATTATGCAGACTTGATTTAATTCTTTCTTAATGCTTTCCTAAGTATTGTATGCTTGTCAGAATATCCCAAAGTATAATTTTATTATTCGAAATATCTCAAAGAAGAATTTAATTTTCTTTTTTTTAGAATTTAAGAAAAAATTAAGGAAAAAATATTAGTGAAAATCCTTACCAAAATATTGAGACACTATTCGAATTAAAAACTATGCTCTTTCACAACACAATTCCAAGAATTTTTAAATTTTTTAATTTGACTTATTTTCTGCGTATATATTTCATACATAAAATATATATATATATATATATATATAGTTTCTGTAATATGAAATACATTGGACAAACTAGCAACTCACTTAACATTCGAATAAATCAACACCCTTCTGATATTAACAGTAATAAGACTATCAATAACCTGGAATTGAATTATTTTAAAGTACATAAATTTAACAGTGTTAAAATTAATATTTTTAGATATTGTAGAAGTTTTAGATTTAAGACTACAGAAAGAAAATTACTACATGCTTTTATGCAAAACAATTTTGCCGTATGGGCTAAACGATACCTTCCAACATACACAGATTAACTTTAATAACTCCTCAACTTATTCACTTTTTCATATTGAAGATAAGCGTACAAATCGAGGTAAACGGGGTTCAAGAAGTAATAGAAACTCTCTTAATAGGGACAAATTAAATAAAAAATTGTCTTTCTAATATGGAAAAAGACTTTAATAAACATTATGACATTTGACCAATTAAAGATTTTGTCTTCTCCCTTAAGAATTATGATGTATATAAGTTCTACGATCTTATTATTAACTTTTCTTTCATTAATTTACGTTTCAAAATTTTTTGTTTCGATCTTATAAGAGCCAAAATGAGCAAAATTTCGCCAAATAAAAAGAATATCTTAGATAATTCATATTTCGTTATTAACTTTCAAAATCCTATTTTCAATAAGATCAAATTTCACAGCATTTTTGAAAATTTTCAAGCTTTATTTCCATCAAGAGATTTTAACATAATTAAAAGTTTTAAATATAACAAATCTCCTGGTAGAACTATATTTAACTATAATGATATCAGCAAAAATTTAGGGAGTATTATTATATCCGATTATGAATGTCACTGTGAGGAGGATAAATATTTTGATTTTGCTGATAAGCATCATAAACATATTATTACTGGTAATTTAAATATTGTAGAAAACTTGGAACTTAGGAATTTAATGATAAAAGACTCAAAATTTAGACCCATTCACCATATATCAATCAATAAAATTCTAAAATACTTTCTTAATGATCTTAATAGTTTTTGTTAAAAAATATCAACTAGATTCTCTTTACCTTTAGGTGTATTAACAGAATGAAAATGGGATGCTTATTATTACGTTAAAAACTTTGTTTTCAATAATAAGGCTAATTTAAAAAGCAGTAAAAATTCAACAAATTTTTCTAATATTGATCGATCAACTAAGCAACTACAAAAAAATTTATAGTCCCCCCATAGACAAATCTATCAATAATTATGAGATCTTCTGTAAAAAATTCCATGTGTAACTTTTGAACATGGAGTTAAATTATCGTAAAAATTTTAAACTTAGTAATTTAAGTAATAATAATATTATCATAAAAAAAGTTTGCTTTATATTAGAGGCTAAAAACTAAAATTAGTAATATACAATTTCCTTACTTAATATCAACACAAAATTTCATAAAATCCCTACTAAATTAGGAAGAATCACATAGAGGTCTGATACTTACCTATCTAAAATTGGCACCATTTTCTAACTAAAATTGGCACCGTAACTACTTAAATAAAATTATTAACAATATTATTAAGGAAGGTTTATTTTTTTAGATTATCAATAATAGTCAATTGATTTTAGAATTTATGAAGCAAAATAAAATTAACTCTATTGCGTCTTTTGATTTCCAGGATCTCTTCAATAGCATTCCCTTTTCTAAACTAAAAGTTGCTCTATGCTCTCTTAAATTTTACTATGATTTAAAAAAAGAAAACCTTATTTGTGATTTTGATTAATGAGAAATTCTTATTAATATTTGTTTTTTAATAATTATCTTTACAATGGAAAACATATTTTTATTCAAATTGATGGAAAAGCACACGGATTTAATTTTTCAACTCCCTTAGCTAACTTATTTTAAAACTATTATGAAAAAACTATAATGAAAAATTTTAATATTAAATTTGTTTTTAGATTTATTGATAATTTAATTATTTTTAAATTTCAAGATTATACAATTTTGTTAAATAATATTTACCTCAAGGAATCAATCTTGCTTTGTAATCCTGATGATAGTATTAATTTCAATTTTTTTGAATTTAGGTATTAAAAAAGAGGAATGCAATAAAATTACTAATTTTAATTTTGATATAAATAAACGAATTGCTTGGTATTTTAATATTTCTAAAAACATTTATTTAAATACTATTTTTAAATTAAAAGAATATGTAGTAATGTTTATTTACCTAAAAATAAAAAACAAACTATATCAAAATTTGATAAAAAAAAATTAATGGATACTCGAATAGTGTAATTAAGTTCTATATAAAATCCTTTAGTTAATTAAATGTTATTATTATTAATAAATTTACAAAAAAATTCTTTATTGACTAAATTTATATTTTTACTATGCGCAAATCCATTTTGGGCAACTCCGTGGCTAAAAATCTGTCCATGCTAAGCAAATAATGTTTTCTTTCATTTCTTTTTTAAATAAATATTAATTTTCCAAATTCCTTAAAATTGTATAATTAAATATCAACTTTATTAATTATAAGCTTGAAATTATCCAGCATAATATAATACCTTACACATTCCAAACTACAGTATGAATGTGTCATGAAAGATCACTCTATTTATGCTTCTAACCTCTATTTACGCTTCTATTTTCACACTTTGTAATATGGCAAACTTTTTACGAAAATATTTTAAATCATTCTTGAAAATTTCTGGAGCTTGAGTTCATTTGAATTTGCTACTCACCTTATAGATTACAATTTTTCTTAAATTCTGTATTTTTCTTACATTTTATTTTCTATTTGTTGCTTGATATGTTTTACTTCATATATTTTTTATTTAATTTATATTCCATTTTCATTTAAATTTTTTGGGTGGTCCTCGTACTATGGTATTGCTATATTTTGCTTTGTTTAAATTAATATAATAAAATACAGCACTCCTTCTTGCTGATATAATCATGCAGAATGATAATGAGATTATATCTTTTCATCACTTTGTTTTCTGGATTTTTAATATTTTTTAAATAATTTTTTTAACGTTTTTAAAAGTACTTTATTTTAATAATTTTTCTCCTACTTTTTTTAATTATACTTTATTACATTATTTGCCATGTTTTCTATCTCTCTTCTCTCAATTAACAAGTGTACGAATATTTTATTTAATTATGTTTCAAAGATATATCCAAATTGTCCATTGAAATGAATGACAAGTGCATAAATTTTACACTTGTACTTGATGGGATGGTAGAAAAAAATTATGCAATAATTGTATACATTTCAAACCAAAATCTTTTTCACTTTGATGAAATAAAATAATAAAAATTAATAAATATTTACTAAATAATGTTTTTTGCATGGAATCATCTTGAACAAATCTTTATTTTTTATTGTATTTTTGACCTTTAAAATACATGATAATTTTAAGAGACAATTCTATAATTGTGAGGAAAAATGTATGTTTAAGTTCGCAAAAAATGTTCCCGGGATATGGCAAGTGTGCAAACTTTGGATTGCCCCCCTAACCAAACTATAAGTATCATAATTCTCAGTTTGAGGCCTCCGATATTTTGAGGGTCAAAAATTCGAATTCGTCAAAAAAAAGCATATTTATTTAGAATTTATTAAATTTATTTAGTAACCTAAAATATCATCTGCACTAACTTAGCATAGTTGAGTTCACCCCTTTTAACATTAAGATTGAGTCCTAAAAATTGAACATCAGATCGTCAAATCAAAAGTTATTCAGAGTGGTCTTTTTTTTTTTCACGCACTCGCAACAAATTAAGACAGTCGAACTAAAAAATAGTTCAACTAATTATCAACTATTATTTAAAAAAAAGCAAGATAACACTGTATATTATATTCTTGCTTTTCTTCTCAAATTAGTACTCTCTGTTTTTTAAATTGAAAAAGTTTTTAAACTATCCTTTGTATTTATAAAGTATCCCACTTATGTTGGAGGAAAGAAATCCTCACTATCACCCTAAGCTAAGGATAAAACAGACACCCTAACTTGATATGTCTGATTTAAATGTCTTTAAGATACTGTAATATTTGAAGCCTCCACTTTTGTTCGTATCCCCTTGTATTATTGAGAAATATATTAGCTAAAGAAATAATTAACCGTCATCTGACTCCTACCAACCATTTAAATAAGACACTCTGTTAAATGTATAGAAATATAAACATATTATTACTCTCTTATTTGGTAACAGGCATATACATCAAAAGTTTGAAATTATCAACTGAATGGTAAAATAAATAATAACTGTAAAGACAATTTTGGTAATTTTAACGTGATACTTCAGAGCATGATAATGAAACCATTTATTCGGAAAAATTTACGTTTAAACTTGTATTGCTACTAAATGAATGGTAATACAAACTATTAATTTGAAAAACAGAATTTTTGGTAAACAGTTAACATAACAAACGATAAATTACCAGTTGAATGTCTTAAATAACGTATGTTTCGCTTTAATTACCAGATAGTCGTTTCTCTTACTGGAAATGAAGAATTGTTTTCTCTGTGTACCAACTTTCTCATACACAGAGTGCTTACATATATATTTATTTTTTCTATTTTTGTCCTTATTTTATTTTAAGTGTTAC